ATTATGTAATTATATATGTGTTTTCCGATGGTCTTAGGCGACCCCTGTGAAAGGGTCCTTCGACCGCCAAAGAGATCGCGACCCACAGGTTGAGAACCGCTGCACTAAGTGGTCCCTGGCTCTCGGCAGGGAGTCAGCGTGGGGAGATGAGCTGCAGCGCTGAGGTCCCTATGGTTCAAACACAAGCTCAGGCCCTGGCCGGGTGGCTCAGTCGGTTGGAGCACCCTCCCCTCCACCCAAAGGTCTCGGGTTTGATTCCCAGTCAGGGTACAAGCCCAGGTTGCTGGTTCGATCCCCGGTGGGGGTGCATGTGGGAGGCAACCATCAATGGTTCTCTCCCTCTCCCTCTCTCTCCTCCTCCCTCTTCCTTCCCCCCTCCCCCTCCCTCTCTCTCTCTCAAATCAATAAAAATATATTCTCAGGTGAGGATTAAAACAAAACAAAACAAACAAAAAAAACAAGCTCAGAAAGCGCAAGCAACAAAAGGGAAAAACATAAATTGAACTTCATCAAAGTAAATATTTTTGTGCTTCAGGGTGAGGATTAAAACAAAACAAAACAAACAAAAAAAAAAAACGAGCTCAGAAAGCGCAAGCAACAAAAGGGAAAAAAATAAATAAATTGAACTTCATCAAAGTAAATATTTTTGTGCTTCAAATGACACTAACAAGGTGAAAGAGAACTCACTAATGGGAGAAAATAGTTGCAAATCATACATCTAAGAAATTTGTATCCAAACATATATAAAGAGTCTTTACAACTCAATAATAACAAGACAATCCAATTTTAAAATGGGCAAAGGATCTGAATAGACATTTCTCCAAAAAAGTTAGACAAACAGCCAATAAACACAGGAAAATATTGGTATCAGCCCTCAGGGACGCTAATGAAAATCACAATGAGATACCACTTCACACCTGCTTAGGATGGCTGTAATAATAAACCATACAAAAAACCCAGAAAATACGTGTTGAAAAGGATGGGGAGAAATTGGCACCCTCAAGCGTCCAGCAGTTCCTTAAATGATTAAACATAGAGTTGCCATATGATCCAGCAACTCTACTCCTAGGTATTTCCCAAGAGAAATAAAAAAGTGTCCACACAACACTTGTACACAAATGTCATAGCAGCACTATTCACTAGAGACAAAAGCTGGAAACTACCCAAATGGCCACCAGTTGATAAGTGGATAATAAAATGTGGTAGTTCCACACAACGGAATACATACTACCCAGTAGTGAAAAAAAATAAAAGTAGACACACGCTACAACATGGTTGAAACTTGAAAACATTATGTTAAGTGAAAAAAGCCAATCACGAAAGACCATATATATATTTTTTAATATATTTCTTTATTGATTTCAGAGAGGAAGGGAGGAGAGAGACAGAAACATCAATGATGAGAGAGAATCATTGATTGGCTGCCTCCTGCACACCCCACACTGAGGATGGAGCCTGCAACCCAGGCATGTGCCCTTGGCCGGAATCGAACCTGGGACCCTTCAGTCCACAGGCCGACGCTCTATCCCAGGGGTCTTCAAACTACGGCCCGCGGGCCACATGCAAATACAAATACTGTAATTGTTCCCGTTTTGTTTTTTTACTTCAAAATAAGACATGTGCAGTGTGCATAGGAATTTGTTCATAGTTTTTTTTTTAAACTGTAGTCCGGTTTTTTTTAAACTATAGTCCGGCCCTCCAACAGTCTGAGGGACAGTGAACTGGCCCCCTGTTTAAAAAGTTTGAGGACCCCTGCTCTATCTACTGAGCCAAGCCGGCTAGGGCTATATATTTTTTATAAGTTTTTTTTATTGATTTGAGAGAGGGAAACATCAATGAAAAGAATCATTGATTGGCTGCCTCCTGCACGTCCCCTGCTGGGCATTGAGCCTGCAACCTAGGTACATGCCCTTGACCTTACACTGGGATTGTTCATTGTCCCAGGGAGTCCCTCCTACTCTGGCCCTTTAAACTGTCTAACCCACTAGGCACCACGCCCTCACTCTTCCTGGAAAGGAAGCACAAGCAGCAGAAGCCAGGTGGAGGACCTCCTCCCAGATTCTCTGTCACTGTGTTGTTCCTTTAAGGCAGTGGTTCTCAACCTTCCTCATGCCGCGACCCTTTAATACAGTTCCTCATGTTGTGGTGACACCCAACCATAAAGTTATTTTTGTTGCTACTTCATAACTGTAATTTTGCTACTGTTATGAATCGTAATGTAAATATCTGATATGCAGGATGTATTTTCATTGTTACAAATTGAACATAATTAAAGCATAGTGATTAATCACAAAAACAATATGTAATTATATATGTGTTTTCCGATGGTCTTAGGCGACCCCTGTGAAAGGGTCGTTCGACCCCCAAAGGGGTCGCGACCCACAGGTTGAGAACCGCTGGATTAGGGTAAGACCACATATTTTATACTTGCATTTACATGAAATGTCCAGAATGGGCAAATTGAGAAAGTAGTCTAGTCACGCCTAGGATTGTAAAGATGGAAGGATTGGGCAGTAATAGCCAGAGGACATGGCGTTTCTTATTGGGGAGATAAAAATGTTCTAAAATTGACCCTGGCTGGTTTGGCTCAGTGGATAGAGCATTGGCCTGCAGACTGAAGGGTCCCAGGTTTGATTCTGGTCAGGGCACATGCCCGGGTTGCAGGCTCAATCCCCAGTGGGGGGCGTGCAGGAGGCAGCCAATCAATGATTCTCTCTCATCATTGATGTTTCTCTCCTTTTAAATCAATAAAAATATATATTTTTAAATGTTCTAAAATCGATTGTGGTAATGATTACACAACTCTGTGAATGTACTAAAAACCCTGGAATTGTACACTTTAATGTGTGAGTTGTATGGTACGTGATTATATATTCAATGAAGCTGTTACAAAAACACACACACACACAAAACAAACCCAGGCTCCCCCCAACTCTCAGACCTCGGGCAAGTCTTTGTGAGCCTCAGTTTCCTCAGCTGTAAAATGGGGAAACTGGGCTTCTTCGTCAAGGTCAGGAAGGGCTTCTAGTCATATAGACCCAGGGGCCAATCCTGGCTCAGTTGCTGACCCACTATGTGCCCTGAGACAACTGACTTCCTTTCCTGGAGCCTCCGTTTACTCATCAGTGGGATGGGCATAAAAACCCACCGCCTTGAAAGGAAGGAGGATCCAGAAGAAAGACCTTGGGCTTTTGAATAAATCCAGCTCTGCCAGTTACTAGCTGGAGGACTGGTGGTGAGTCACATCCCTTTCTGAGCCTGTTTCCTCATCTGTGAAATGGAGAGAATCTCATCAGCTAGACCAGTGGTTCTCAACCTTCTGGCCCTTTAAATACAGTTCCTCATGTTGTGACCCAACCATAAAATTGTTTTCGTTGCTACTTCATCACTGTCATGTTGCTACTGTAATGAATCGTGTTGTAAATATCTGATATGCAGGATGGTCTTAGGCGACCCCTGTGAAAGGGTCGTTCGACCGCCAAAGGGGTCGCGACCCACAGGTTGAGAACCGCTGAGCTAGACAGTGTGGAGAGGAGGGGGGAAGGGGCTGGGCACGGACCTGCCGACCTCATCACCCTCCAGCAGCTGCAGGGTAACATCTGGCACGCTGGTGGCAGGGACCTCTATGGACCAGGGGTGAAATATTTGGCAGATCGGTTCCATCAGCATGTACCAAGCACATGCATATGATGTGCCCCTGTGCCAGGCTCTGGGATCCTGACGGGCTTCCGGGCGGGACTGGGGGCACTCAGTTTGAAGAGAGGGCTGTCAGTCAATGTCAAGTTCAATACCAAAGGGTTCTCCTCCTCCCTCCCCCGGGCCTCCGGCTCTGCACCTGCTGCCCGTGACCACCTGGACAGCCCTGCACCCGGGCTTCACTTCACCCATTCCAGGCAGAGCGGAGGCTCAGGTGGGTGCCCTGGGCCTGGCTGTGTCCAGCGCCCAGGCTGTATCCCAACTCCGCTTTCACCCATCATTACTCTGGCTGTGAAGAGATGGTTTGCCAAAAACGGGAAACTGAGGCTAGTCCCTGAAGAGGCAGTTTAAGGTCAGGATCCAGGGCCCCCTGTTTAAAAAGTTTGAGGACCCCTGGTTAAGGTCAGGATCCAAGTTCTGACCTAGACATTTGTAGTCCTCCCCTGCCTGGAAGTCCCCACTATGTACTGTGTGCCACAGATGACAGGGTCGGGGCAGGCAAACTGGCCTCCCACTGACCCAGCACCCACCCCAGCCGGGGCCTCCTCACACCCACTCACCTGTCTCTACCCACAACCCTGGGGACTTTGCTTTTCTCAGGCAACAGCCCTTGTTCCGTCCCTTGGCTCAGGTCCCTCCCACCTGGGCCCTTGGGTGCCGAAGCCGGAGCCTCAGAGCACGGACCCCTTATCATAGGCGGGTCTGAGCACCTGCCATGTGCTGGGCCGCAGGATGAGCTCCTTGGATGTCCCCGCCCACCCACTGGGCTCCACCGGACCCCACCGCTCACCTTCTGTTCAGGATGCTGGGAGGTCAGGGTCACTGCTCTGGGCCACAGGGTGGGGAACAGGCTGAGACCCGGCCGGACCAGGTAGTGTGAAGGTGGGTGCCAGTTTGGGTTCTGAGCCTTTCCAACCCAGGACTCGGCCTCCCAAGTAAATTGAGGCCCACACTCAGCCCAAGGCCGACACGACCGTGTCCGTTTCCCAGAGCAGACGGGGCAGGGGCTTCCCCTCCTGTCTGCACCCATGGCCCAGCTCCCATGGGTGGATGCTACTCAAACTCAGGGCGACCCCCTGCCCCGCAAGAGCAGGCCCGAGGGAAAGGCTCCAGAGCCTCAAGTCCTCCCTGCCCCCCTCCTGACCTGCCCCAGGAGAGCAGCTTAATGTTTCCATATAAAGGAGACAGGGGGCTTAAGGTGCCTTAACTTCAGTCAAAGTCACTGCCTAATCTGAGGCCAAGAGGCTCCGCCCCAGGCCCAACCTCCCTCCCTTCCTCCCCAAAGAAACACTCGCACACTCTTCCCCGAGAGCCCAGTATTTCCCCCACCCTCACTCCCCGTGGGGTCTGGGGAGCAGGCTGGGGGGCAGAGAATGACAGGAGGGAGTGTGGGGGCAGAGCCTGGGCAAAGACAAGGGTACAGGATCGGAGATGAGCAGGAAGAGAGGGAGCCTGAGAGAGAGAACCGAGATGGGGGGTGGTGGAGAGAGACCCAGAGGGAAGGGCATAGGGACAGAGAGAGGGACAGACAGAGTGACAGGGACCCAGAGGGAGAGGGACAGAGATTCAGAGGGAAGCAGACGGACAATGGGGAGATGGGTGGGGGACAGAGGCACGGGGAGAGAGAACAGCAACACAGGCAGATGAGGAGCAATTGGGAAAGTCATGGAGATCGTGTCTTAGGAAAGGGCAAGATGGGAGATGGAAGGCAGAGACCAACGGAAGACACAGAGACGGGGCAAGAAAGAGGCTCCGTTGAGATGGAGGACGCGGGGGGTGGGGTGGGGGGGGGGACATGAAAAAAAGCACAAAATGCCAATGGGGTCAGTCAGAGGCACCAAACTTGAAGGGAGCAATTGTTCTGGGGCTGGACCGTCACCCAGGGTAAGACTGGACCTCTCCGAGGGGGAGGGGGGACAGCAAGGATGGATGGGGAGTGGGGAGATGCTGGAGCAGATGCCAAAGCAAGCAGGGGAGTGGGAGGAGGTGGGGTGGCCCTCAGCCCCGGGACCCCGGCCCAGACCTCTGCATGGAGCACATACCTGGTGGGGCGGCCCACCCCCATGCCCTCCACGGGGGGCTCCTTGGTGGGTGCCGATGGCTGCGGTCTGTCCTTAGCCCCAGGGGCCTTGTGCCGGATGCCCAACCTCTGTGTCCACAGGCGGATCAGAGGCCTGGCCCGAGGGGGGGGACAGGGGGTGGGGCCAGCTCAGAGCCGCAGAGGGGGAGCCAGGGAGGACAGCCAGGCAGGCGGCTGGGCTGCAGCCCAGGCAAGCTGGAGAGGTGGCAGAGACACAGGAGGGGGCAGGGACAGAGCCTGGGGGCCAGGAGACATGGGAAGACAGGGACACAAATGCAGCAAAGATGGGGACATGGATGAGGGAACAAAAGGGGTGAGGTGAGGATAAAGGAGACAGTGACTGAAGGAGAAATGGGGGGGGCCTGGTTCTCCCTGAGACAAAGCCTTAAAAAGTTGGGGGTCACAGGTGAGATACCCCCCGGAGACCCGGAGGGAGTCCCGGATGGAATCAAATGTAGGGAAGGCAGACTGGGGGTGCACCCAATGGGGTGAAGGCTGGAGCAGCTGCCAGATTCCTGCTCCTCCCCGTTTTCTCTCAGGGAAGCGGCCAGGAGGATGAGTCTCATACATCAGGCCTATTCCCGTCCTTTATTGGCTCTTAGGACCCCCCCCCCGACTTTCCTCCCTCCACAGTGCCTGCCTTCAGCACAGAGGAGGGGAGAAAGCCCACGCAGCCCTCACTGGGGAGTCCTGGCAAAACCTAATCCTCCGGGGGAGACCCACCCCTCAAACTCGGTCCAGTCATTGCAAAGCACTTGAGTTCCCTGAGGTCAAAGGGTCAAGCCAAGGGCCTCAGCTGACAAAATATCCCTAGTAATTGGGGCCACCCCAGGCCCACCTTCGAAATGGGCCAACAGCGTCCCCTGAAGGGTGGGGGTGAGTCACTGGGCTGAACCACGTCTCTGGGTGGGTGGGGCCGCTGGAGCCAAACCCAGGGGTTTGAGAGCAGTGGTCGCCAACCGGTGGTGCTCCTGGTGCTCCGCGAGGTCCGGCAGGCTGGCAACGCTGTCTCAGAGCGCCATGGATCAAACCAAGTCCTTCGCTGGAGGAGTCCTCAGACCAAACCAAGTTCCTTTAAAGAACAGTAAGTCAAGCAGAATCCATCCTGGGGGCCAATGGGCCGAGCGAAGTCCTTCTTTGGAGGAGGGCCGGTCCGCAGATCTGAACGAGGCCCTTCCAGGAAACCAACCTCAACGTCAGCTCCCAGGCCGCGCTCAGACGCTGATGGTGCGGAAGACGGTGAAGCCGGACAGGGCGGTGCTGACCAGGACCCCGGGGCACTGCGGGTGCCAGTGCAGCTCCTTCAGATCGGTCTCGCCCTGGTGCACAAACAGCAGCTGCTGGGGGAGGTCCGCCAGCCCGGGGTCGGTCTCCGCGTCGCCCGCCTCGGGGTCCCGCTCCACCGCCAGGTCCCACTGTGTGATCTGGTTGTCTGCACCCGAGGCTGCGAAGACCCCACTGTCCTGGGGGTGCCACTCGACGGAGGTCACGGGGGCCACGTGCTGCTTGAAAGTGGCCACTGGGGAGCCAGACTGTGGGGAAACAGGAGGCAGGGGCTTTGAGCACCTCAGCCGGAGTCCTGGGGTACTCCAGGCAGAGCCCCAACCCTCTCCAGCCTCGGGGTTCAACCAGGGCTCCACCCTTGAGCCCCCACAAGCCCGGATTCTCTGAAAGGGACAGAGGGGGAGGTACAGCTGGTAACAATGGCCTACGTCCCAGGGGCTGCTGGGAACCCTGCTTTCACCTGCCCAGAAGCCCCTCCCAGGAAGGGGGTGTCCTCCCCATGGTCCTATGGCCTTAAAGGGGCGGAAGCAGGGCTCCCAGGCCCCAGGAGCAGCAGACGCAAAGAAGCAAGAAGCTGCTTTTCCTACACAAAGGGGCTGACTTGGAGAAGGGTCTCCAAAGTCCCAATCAGCTCGGCCATGTGACGTGGCCATGCACCTGCCTTGGGGCTGGAATCCTTTTCTAGAAACTTCCCAGGGGTGATGCTAGAGAACCCATTACACCGGCAGGGAAAACAGACTAGGACCCGGTGGCCCCGGGAAGGCGCAGAGCCCTGTGGAGTGAGGGCTTTGCTCAGAGGGATCCCAGACACAGCAATGCTTCCTGCCCAGAAGCCCTCTCAGTGCGACAATCGGCGCTACAATCGGCGCTACAATCGGCACGTAGCTGGACCATATGTCACATCTGCTCCTGGCCTTTCTATGCCTGTCTCCTCTCCTGCAGCGAGGGAGCTGGGCTCCGGAGGTCTTTGCCTCTTCCGTCTCCTGTCAGCTCTCTGGCTGGTAGAACGGTGCTTCCACATCAGCCACAAGCCATCCTCCTGCTGAGCCCGCTCCCTCTTCTGTCGCCCGAAGGGGCTGGGCCCAGTGAAAGGGCGCTCCCAGCTCTGGCGTCGAAGACCACGTCAGAGGGCAAACCCACAAATCCCAGTGGCTGAGGGAACAGGGGCTTCTCCAGGCGCCCAGCTGGGAGCGTACCTTGAACTGCCGCAGGTCCCACACCTTGAGGGCCCCGTCATCCCCACCGCTGAGCAGGAAGGGCTCCCGGCGGCTCCAGTTGATGACGTTGACGTCCCCATCGTGGGCGGCGGCAGTGGTGAGCATGCAGGCCTTGCTGGGGGCGGCCCGGATGTCCCAGATGCGAATGGAGGCGTCAGCTGAGCAGGAGCCGAATACCTGGAAGAGGAGTCTGAGCGACCGGGGCTCCCTGCACCCCACCCGAGACCAGGTACTAGTTGTGGGCCCCTCACTAGGACCTGCCCCAGCCCCTCCTCCTTTAAGACCCAGGAATCCAGCCCCGCTGGTATGGCTCAGTTGGTGGACTGTTGACCCAGGAACCAAGAGGTCACTGGTTCGATTCCCAGGCAGGGCACAGGCCTGGGTTGTGGGCTGGGTCCCCAGTAGCGGGTGTGTAGGAGGCAGCCGATCAATGATTCTCTCTCATCTGATGTTTCTATCTCCCTCCCCCTCTGATATCAATAAAAAGATATATTAAAAAAAACCCAAGACCCAGGAATCCAGCCCCAGCCCCGCCTCACCGTGTCCTCGGTCGGGGACCACTGCAAGTCCTCCACGGAGCGTGTGTGGCCCACGAATGGCCGCTGGTCTACATGCCAGGAGCCGCCGTCCGTGGGCGTCCAGAGGTGGATGTTCTTCTGACAGTCACCGGTCAGCAGGCGCCCTGGGGAGTCGGGAAACGACCTGGTCCCAGCTGGCCCAGTGCAGTCCCCTCCCTGGAGTCAGCACCCACCCCTGCTGCCGACCCTGCTCCCCCTGGCACCCCAGGACCAAGTGCATACCCCAGGGACTCACCGGGCACACGGGGGGACCAGTCCAGGGCAAAGCCCTCGCCCATATGGCCAGCGAAGGCGAAGATAGGCTTCACGCGAGCCTGCTCGTCCCGGAGGAAGGCGGCCAGGGCCTGGGGGTCATCGACCACCTGCAGAAGCCGCCGCAGCGCAAACACCTCCACCTGGCCCTTCTCTGACCACACCCCAGCCACCGGCTCCTCGCCCAGCCAAGACACCTGTGGGGGGAGAAGGAAGGGGAGGTGAGCTGGAAGGGGCAGGAGGCTCAGGTTGGTGACCACAGCTTCTAGCATCCCTGAGAACTAGGACGGCAGTTCCTCAGACCCCCCCACCCCCAGGGCTGGGACAACGACCCCCAGAATCCTTTGCAGGAAAGGACCACAGTCTGCAAGACCAGCTTGGTACCTGGGACAACTCCCCACCCTGCGGTAGAGGTGGTGGTGGGAGAACAAAACTTCAAGACTCCTGGGAATCAAGGCTGTAATCCCCACCAGCCCTCATCAGACTCCTGGTCTCTGCTGGTCTCTGCTACCCTCTCAATGCGGGAGAGTCACAGGCCTCAGGCCTCAGTACGTTTGCTCAAAGGAGGTCCCGTTCAGCCTCCGGGTTTCCAGCAGCATCTACCTCCGACCTCCTCCTTGAACTCCAGACTCACATCACACTGACCATTCAAACTTCACGCAATCAAAGCCAAGCTCCTAATCACTGACTGCAAACTACTCCTCCCCAAACTGCAGGACCTTTTTTCAACTTGTCTCTTCCTCAACCCGACACCTATGCTGATTCCAGTAAAAATGCACCACTTCGCCCTGCAGGTTTGGCTCAGTGGATAGAGCATCGGCCGGCGGACCAAAGGGTCCCGGGTTTGATTCCGGTCAAGGGCACCTACCTTGGTTGCAGGCTCCTCCCCGGCCCGGGCCCTGGTCAGGGCTCATGCAGGAGGCAACCAATGGATGTGTTTCTCTCACATCGATGTTTCTCTCTGTCTCCCTCTCTCTTATCTCTCCCTAAAAATCAATGGAAAACTATCCCCAGGTGAGAACTGCAGGGGGGTGGGGCGGGGGGAAGCACCACATTCATCCCTTCTCACCACCTCTATTGTTGTCTCTCACGTTGCTACTGACGTCATCCTTCTCCCAAACTACAGCCCCTACAGGACTGTCCGCTGCCCTTGCCTTCCTGCAGCCTCTTCTCAACAGAGCAGGTAGAGGAATTAAAACACAAGTCAGATCCCACCTTTCCTGTGCTCCAAACTCTCCCATGGCTTCCAACGTCTCCCCAAGTAAAGCCAAGTCCTTACAATGGGCTACAAGGCCCTAACAATCTGTCTCATCTGGGCCCACACCCCGAATCTTGTCGCTGCATCCCTTGCTCATTCTGCTCTAAGCACACTGGTCTCCCCAGCGTCTCTCAAAAAACTCCTCCAACATGCCAAGTCCACCCCAGGCCTGTGCACGTGTTTTCCTTGCCTGCAAACCTTTTCCCACACACCCTTGGCTCACTCCCTCACTTCCTGTGGGTCTCTGTATAAACGGCTCCTTATCAGTGAATACTTCCCAGGCCACACTATTTAAAATAGCAACCCACACAGGAACACCCTCCACCAGCCGTGGGCAAACTACGGCCCGTTTGAAATGAATAAAACTAAAAAAAAAAAAAAAAAAAAAAATACCCTTTTATGTAATGATGTATACTTTGAATTTATATTAGTTCACACAAACACTCCATCCATGCTTTTGTTCCGGCCCTCCGGTCCAGTTTAAGAACCCATTGTGGCCCTCGAGTCAAAAAGTTTGCCCACCCCTGCCCTACACCCTTACCTGACTTTATTTTTTTCTCTACAACACTTAGCACCTTGACATAGTACACATCTCCTTATTTTGTTCTGGTCCCTTTCTCCAGCAGCATATAAGCTCCAAGCAGCCAGAGACCTTTTGCTCCCTGTTAAATCCCTAGAGCCCAAAACACTACCTAAAACACGTTAACACTTCAATGGAAACGCACAGCAAGAACCACCGGCCCAGCACTGCTCCAAGTGCTGCTTATATGTCACCTCATTTAACTCACACATCACCCTGATCAGAAGATGCTATAACCCTAAACCACAAGAGTAACCTCAGGACAGTTCCTGAAAAATAACAGAAAACACATACACTCACATTACAGCCAGGTGCTGTTTCTAAGCACCTGAAAGAACTGTATTTCAGTTACAGAAAGAATTGTACGTTATTCTACGCGATCCTTACACCAGGCAAGTTTT